TGCAAGAAAAAAAAGGAGATATGTTTGAAATATTTGCTTTGTTTTGTGGAAATAAGCAAATGAAGCTCCAAAAATCATCGGTTAAGCATGAAAATTTTTCAACAAAATATCTTTAAACTCTCATGACAGATCCATTGCAGTTCATTTGTCAAATTTCTAAACAGATTATTTCACAAACAGGCATAGTTTCCACAGGTTCTCTGAGTCACAATGCTGCTTTTTATTTCAATAGCCTTTTGATTTCTAAAATATATTTAGACTATTTTTCTTTACAGGAGAGCGAAAATAAAATCCAATAGTATATCTCACTGACTTTCTCCTCGTTTTATGATTGAAGCTATTTAACTAGACTGTGGCTCACTCTTGTTGACATGTGGGCCACAAAGGCCTCATTTAACTTTCAAAGTAGGTTTTTTGAGTATAGTTTATTGCATTTTATTCATTTAGTTTTGTGTGCATGTATATATGTTCATTCCGGAATATTCATGGAGGTTAGAGGACAGCTTGCAGGAATCAATTCAGTCCTTCTACCATACAGGTCTTGGGAAGTCAGATCATTAATTGTGGCATAAGGTTTTTTTAATACATGTGTCCGTTGTTCCAAGCATGGTAGATACAACTGTAAGAGAGATGCACAATTTCTGACACTATGAAACGGATATTCACTCAAACACGCAATCCAAATTGGTTCCTTTGACTGATAAAAGTGATAACTATACTTTCTTATGACCCATGATCTAGTCACAAGAGTAGACTATACTTGATGTAGACACCATGTTTCTTCTACAAATTTGTTCAACTTTTTAATAGCATCTGCCACCAATTTTGTGCATAAAAGTTGTTCTAACCAGGTCTAGATGGTTAACATTCCCGAGAGAACACACCATTGCCAGGCTCTATATTTACGGACATTGTTTCCTTGCCCAGGAATAAATCACCCTTCCAGTTCTTTCCACTCCCCACTGCCACTCCTCACACCACCAAAATTCTCTCTTTCTCTGTTTCTCTCTCTCTCTCTCTCTCTCTCTCTCTCTCTCTCTCTCCTTGCCTCTGTTTCTTGAGATCCTACCCCAAAGTTGGGTGTGTAGATGCAAATCAATGACAAAATGGTTGTCTATCTAGCATGCAGGAAAGCCTGAATTCTAACCCAACACCACATATACCTGGGGTAGAGGCACTTATCTTAATCCCAACACTTCAGAAGTGGAGGCAGAAGGATAAGACAATGAATGTCTCCTTGGCCTCCTAATATACTTGAGGTCAGCCTGGGATACATAAGGCCATGCCTCAACAAAACAAAATATTTTGCTTAAAAAGTACATTCATAATGTAATATTGCAAATAAATGATGGTCTGTAGGCTCTGAAGTAATGTTCTGTTTGCCATTTTTTCTTTACAGGAAAGGATAAATAAAATTTAATTGAGAACTCTGAGAACATACACCATCATTGGGAATGAGTAAGACTGTAAAGAGCTGCAACATCTGGTTATTTCTATTTATAGGAAAATAATGTCACATATATATTTGCTATGAGACCGCAGTTAATAAAACTAATTTACCAGGAGGGTCCTCAGTCTTCCAAAGCCATACATACTCCACTTCTGTTTAAAATCAAATCTGGTCCCAGTGATGAGGGACCATTAAAAAAAAGGAGCAACTAGATAGTTAATCTGTTGTTTTTGTGAATCCTGGTCAGAGGCAAGAAAGGAAGTTGCCAGAACTGAACCAAAATCATCCTAGGCATGACAGTGCTTACCTACAATCTCAGCACTTGGAAACTTGAAGCAGGATCATATGTTTAAAGAACACCTAGGCTTCACTGTGAGACTCTGTGTCAAACTAACAAGATGGAGCTGCCAAGGGCTTGTGCAGAAATAGCTCTTATACAGGGTAACCTGCTGCTAACTGAATATGTTCTAACATTAACTCTTACGTATATTCTGCCTGTAATATTTGTTTCAAACAGAGGCATGTTTCTCTAAAGACTTATTTTATTTTTATATGTATGGGTGGCTTGTTTGCACATAGGTCCATGTACCACATGCATGAAGTACACAGGGGGGCCAGAGAGGTCAACAGCCCCAAAACTGGAGTTACAGACGATTGTAAGCTGTCATGTGGGTGAAGGCAAATGAACCCAGGTCCTCTGCTGAGCCTCAAGCATTATACATATTTTGCCCCAAGGCTGGGAAAATATATCTAGTCTATATGGGATTAGGGGGTTAATATGGTAAAGAGATCATTATTCTCCCCTCATTTATACCATTGAAAGAATAAACCCCAAGAAATGAGAATTTCTCAAAATTCTTCTGCTGAAAGAGAAAAGTGCCAAAGCCCTGCTGGCAGCCTAATAAAGAACTTGCCAGATGATGTTGGAATAGAGACTAACCTCAAAGAAAACGCTTGGTCCTGAGACAGTGCTGGACAAGTCACCATACCTGGTGCTCACGCTTTGTTAAGTGTGTGTATCCCTCGCTTCCTATTTAAACCTTATCCTCATGTCAAGACCCTGGAGATAGACTTGGATGGGCAAGGATCACAAAATTTCTTTGAACCTCTTACCAGTGTGAGCATATTGAATAAGTATTTCCTTTCTGGTCTTTATTATTTTATTTTTAAAAAAAAATCTTAAAGATTATTTATGCATGAAAGACCAGAGAGCCTGTCACATTTAACTATTTTAATATTCTTCACATTAGACTTCTATTGAGACAAGGAAAACTATCAAAAGGTAGGCTCCAAATTAACACTCAAATTCTAAAAATTTGAAATATTTGAAAGACTTTAATGCTAGTTTATTTTAGGCTCAAAACGATAAATAATATAATAATTCTTGAAGGCATAATTACTTGTGAAGTATAAGAGAAATAAATATGGGCAAGTAGAAACACAATATATAAAGTTCTTAGAGAGAAAAGAAATCGACAGTAAAGCAGAAATTAAATTGTATAAATAGTGAAATAAATAGAAAAGCAAGAGAGGCAAAGAATGAAAAAAAAGCAAAACTTCAGAAAATGCATGTGTGGTAAGAGAAGGAGTGGAAATTAAAAGAAAACAAACAGGCTGATCATGTTTCATAGATTTCTTGATTTGTTTAGTTAGACATTTCAGGCATATCCCCTGGGAGAACACTTGGATAAGTACACACCACTAATTTAATTTCTCTCCTTTGGGCCACATACCAAGGAGGAAACAATGAGCTCCACCCCCACAATGCTGATTTCCCAGTCACATTTCTGACCGTAAGTGTTCAATAGTCTAAGGCTGTGAAAATTATTGGAAACTCACCTAAATACATTCTTTTCCTTGGCTTACATTTATAATGCTTAAACTTGAGGGTTTTCAACAATAATTTAAAATCCATAATTAGAAAACATCCTACCGTCCAACATAATTGAATTGCTTACAAAATTTTTAATTTTGGTATCACAAATGAAAATCTGTGGAAAAGTTTTCATTTGGAGTCAGACGAGTCCAAGGCTTTATCCAATAACACTTTTGGTAGGAACTACTTTCTTAGATCAAGATCTGAAGGCACATGAAACATTTGCTTGATTAACCTTGTGACATATCTAATTTGTGGCTATCAACCTCGTTCCACACACAATCCTTGGAGTCAGAACATTGTTTATGATGTCACAAACAGGCTATAAAGCTGGCTGACTATCAGTGAACCAGGATCACCAGGAAATCTTAATACATACAGCTATTACTTTCTTTGAAAGAGACCGAGACAGACCCTAATTGGGTGTAAGTGTGGAGTCCATTAAGGCAACAGTCTACTACTGCAGGAGAACTAAATAGATTACATTCTAGATGCAATGCCTGATTCTGGGAAAAAGCAAAGGCAGTGAAACTTAAATAAGAACATCTTCTGATCAAATAACCTTTAAATCCATGCTCTCTGAACCTAAGTGTAATGTCAGAAGGATATAGAGCTTGAGAAAATGGATAGCCACAAAGGGTATTTTTAAATGCTTAAAAATTGCAAAGCAAGCCTAACATACAATTGAATAATTAGCTTCTACCGTCCTATCATGACAAATATAATTTTGAGTGAGCTTAGATTTGAATGACAATGTTTGAACTCTATGTGATCAAGGGCTAACAAGGCTCTGAAAAGAACTGGCTTAGGCATCTCTGTCCTTATCTGATAGGGCCAAGGTTCTTGCTATACAGTCTACAGAGTCTGACCCTTTTGTCTGAAATGCCCATCCCTATAACTTTTACCACTAATCGTATCTTCCTTATCTTGAGGATTATAGCTTATTTCCACTTACTGTATTATTCTCTACACCATGGAAGACTCAATGACATCACCATCATGACAAAGTGATCACCACTTTGGGTCTTACTCATGGCAAACTTCAGGAAGCCTTTTCTGCATACGCTTACTGCCATTGTTATCTCCAGCATCAAAGTACACAGGCATAGTAAGGAGGTCCTCGGTGAACACGTGTGCACAGAAGAATTAGGATTTTGTCTGAGGTTCCTAAAATGACCCCTTCCATAGGTGACACTAGAACAAATGTCACAATTGTCACCAAATATCACAGCATGTTCACAACTTTGGGCATTTTTTTTTCATGACGATTACTCCATCCTTTCTCCTTCCTTGTATTATTAATTGCTAGTTCTTTTTTTTCCTACCATGTTCGGGGGGAAATTGTATGTATCCCCATAACCACAACCAAGCCATAGGTCCATAGCACTCTTCATATTGGTTATACTACAGTAGTGTCACTGGTTCCTTTAGCACCACCCTGAAAATCTCCTTAGAGCAGAAGTTGTGTCTACTGTTTACTATGCCCCCACTGGTGCCCAAATCCAGTCAATTCATGTATAGAGAATAAGTACAGCTCCATGGGTTGATTTATCAACATTTGGCATTATCCTAAAGAGTATATTGCCTTATGCGTAGGTATAAAGCATTGATTAAATAACGCAAAAAGCCATGGGTCTAAGCAAGGCTGTTGTAAACATTTAGGTCAGGACTTACCATCTCCAGTCTCTGCACAGAGCTGTAAACCCAAATTGTTCTGTGGGTTAATCACCCAGTGGTTGCTGGTCACAGTGATATCAAAGACAAGCCAGCCCACGTCCAAAGCTTGCGCCTTCCTTGTGTCCAACAGGAAAAGATCCGCATCCCTAAGGAGAAAGGAATGAAAAATTAATGAAAGCTTTGAATGAAGCCCATAATTTCTCCTATGAACGTGAAAACATTTTAAAGGCACTTTAAAAGTAACTGGAGTTAAAGAACGAGGGAGCAGAGGACGCACAATGATGAACAGTAAGACACTGCCACCTCCCAACCCAAACCTGGGACCTATTAGGAATATCTGAAAGTAATTTCTATTTTTCTGTTTCTCATTGTCATTTCATGCTAACTTAATGGTCTTAATTTGTTCCCTGGTCATCAAGGCTCCCTCCAACCAACATCTGTTAGTACCCCTTAAAAAAAAAGAAAATTATTAAAATGAATTGAGACAGAAACGAAAGTAGCTGCTCCAATTTGGATGAGTGCAGACTCTCGGAGGAGCCCGGGCAGGGGATATGTCAGCATCTGGTTTAGGGATAATTGTCTTATACTTTAAATTTTTAATATAATAGTTTTATGGGTAATGAAGTCCAGAAGGAGTCACTAAGTGTGCCACTTTATGAAGAGGTGAGTCTCTTGAGTGGGGAGGCATGGCCCACAGTGGTACGCTGTCACTTCCTCTGTGAGTCAGCATTCCCTTGCAACCATCACGACACTGAAGAGAGGCACAAAGGAACAATCAGAACGGTGTGACAATTCACATCTGCGAAGAGATCCTGAATCTTGATTGTGCTATTAAGTTATGAGCATATGTTTGTTGGATTGTAGAGAATGGTTTCATATGTTCTTTCCCTACCACCATCACACGGTGAGCTAAACGTGCCTGCTCCTGGCATTTCATCTTATTAATGAAATCAGGGCTCAGATGAATCAGTTGTAAAACACCAAAATTCTGCCAACATAAAGTAAAAAGAAATCAACAACAACAGCAAAAACCACTAGTATCATTTTTTAAATGGATTTTTCTACTCTTCCACATCTTTTGTAAAGCACACTCTATAAAGATAAAAGTAAAGCTGTGTTGTAATAGGTTGTATAATGCCACTTCAGAGGTGTCTCAAAAATAAAGACAAAAATTTGTATAAGTCATATATAGAAAACTCAAAAATTGTATTTTTAACAAACATGAAAGTAAAACTCTAAGTCAATATTTCACTTCTTCAATTTTACTTGATCTATGTCGTTCGCTCAGTAACCAGAGAAATTAAATTCAGTGGATATGACAATCAAATCATCTAATTACCTAATATTACACTATACATACTCAGCACGCTTAGCAGATAAAGGCTGCAAACATTGAGAAATGACACAGGAAGTGGTTTGGCATATTACAGACTTCTGATGAGCAGCGCCACATGGTGCCACTTGAGTTTTCAGGACCCCCTTTATCCTTTCTCATTAGACAATGTCAATCAAATCTTTGCCTTTCCTAACTCGAGAAGGCCATCAGATATATAGAATAAGCAAAATCTGAGAAAATTAGGATTGCCCTTAGTTTTGAGCCATTTGATACGCGTCTCTGAAACTGTAATCTTTTTAACGAACTACACTGCTTATTGGTTAAACAGGAGTCACTGTGTCTTGGAAAAGACTCAAGGGTTGCAAAGCTTTCAAGACGGCTCTCTTCTGATTTAGTGATTCAGTGTCCCAGTCATTTCTACAAAGCTGATAGCTCCAGCCATTGAAGCTCTTGGAAAACAATAGATAAAAATAAGTAGCTTTGTGTTTAGAGTGTTTCTCTGTATGCACACGTTTATGTACACGTGTCCATGTAAGTGCATGTGCATGCATTTGGAGACCAAAACTTGACATCACGCTCCACTTTATTTTCTGAGATGGAGTCTATCACTGGGCCTAGAGAGCATCAATTCTAAGAGATCAGCTAGGATGGTCCAGAGAAGCTCCTGCCTCTGCCCCTTGGCCCTGGGACTTCAGTGTGCATCACCACACCCAGCTTTTTATTTTTATTCTTTACCATGGGTGTGGGGATCCAAACTCGAGTATTCAAGCTTACGTGGTAAACACTCTACCAGCAAAGATATCTCCCCAGAGCCCTCAAAGGGGGTAATTTTAATAGGTTAAATTAACCATGTTCTGTAGGTAGACATTTAGGTGATATTTTCTATTATTTTAAAACTGTATGACATCATCTTTTCATAAAAGAAAAAGTACCATCCAAGATCAATTCACAAATCTTTCTAACATGTTCAGTATCAGTAATAACTATAGATTTGACGTTTAGGGGGAATCATAGCATGGGACTTGTGCAAGCTCTAAGTGTCTGCATTTCACTGATACAAACTGTAATGCCCTAGAAGACAAATCTACAAAAAAAAATCGTGGTTTCAAAAATCCATATGTTCTAGTTTACCTCTGAAGTTGTGGATATTCAACTGATTTCATAGGTGTCAACATGTTTTCCTATTCTCAAACAAAACTACTTTTTTCTTAGAATTTCTTTTATTTCCCCTTTCGCTCTTCGTAGAAAAACTTCTACATTGCCTTTAGGCAATGAAATTTGCTTCAGGATAATCGAGTATTTTATCAATGAATACAATGGCAGCCATTCTGTGATTTCATTCATGTGATTCCATTCATGATTGTAACTTAAAATAAACCCTCTCTAAGTCAACACAAAATTAGGTGTGAATTCCTTTGAAGTATAAAATTTCTCTACCAAGAACTATCACCGGGAGTAGTAGAAAAGTCCAATCATTTCCTATGAACAGTCTAAAATAAACCTGTCACTCGGTCTCCCTGTTTTTATTTGACATTTTTTCCTGAACTTAGGACCTCATGCCTGCTAGCTAAGAGCTCTACCGCTGTGCCAGTCCTTTGACTGAAGGGGATAAACTCTTGTTGTTTCAAGGTGCCCACACTTTTCGTAGTTCACAATAGCAACGTCAAGAAATCAACGATCACTTAACTTGGAAGTTTTCACACATGAAACAGAGAGTTCACTAATATAAAATACTAAGGAAAACAGGAAGAAAGAAAGCATGTCCCTGAGCTCCTTGGGAAATGAAGCTATCAATGGATGATAGAAAAATAAATGGACTTTTAGAAATCTAAATGCAATTGGTTGAGGGGTGAATGAGAAAGTGAAAGGATTGGAAAGGGAAAATAGTATGTAATTTGGGGGCTTAAGTGGTTACAAAATCAAGTAGGAGAGGTTTTTCATTAAGGGCAGGAAAGGGAAGGGAAGGGGAGGGGAGGGGAGGGGAGGGGAGGGGAGAGGAGAGGAGAGGAGAGGAGAGGAGAGGAGAGGAGAGGAGAGGAGAGGAGAGGAGAGAGGTAGAGGCGGAAAAACGAAAAGAGAGAGAAAGAGAGATGGGAGGGGGGCAGGTCCACCTTTTAAAGAGGAACATAGTGAATGTGCATAGGAGGTGCTCTTAGTGGCTGCAGCTGAGGATATATCCTGTCAGAACCTCAAGGGCAGGCCAGTACAGATGCCTAAATACTAATACTTACTCTTCCATATCACAATCCATGATGAAAGGAACTCAGGTCAGGAACTCATAACTGGAGTCATAATCAGTTACTAAACAAATAAATCCTCCTATGTCTCTTCTCATCAACATCACCACCATAGTATTGAGGAATTAATCAACAGTTCTAGTATTGAGCATGTAAACAAAATGTGTCACAATAATAAATTATAATTTCTGAATTTTCTCTGAAAAGTTTGCCCAGCCCCAATGGTTATATCTAGATACACTTCCACATCTAAGACTCAGGGAACACTGCAGAAGAGGGAACAGAAAGCTTTTAAGAACCAGAGGATCGGGGAGATGGTGTGAGATGGTGTCTCCTAGTGATGTCAGAAACTATACCCATAAGGTCTCACCGATATGACTGCCTACACAGGAGCTAAACAAGGATGACACCAATGGACGTACCAATGTGGATGGGGGAAGCCCCAGAGGCCTCAATGCTACACAACAAACAGGCGACTAAGATAATGCAGAGAGTGGGAGAAATAGCCTTTTCCAGGAAGAGTGCACCAGTTAATAGTCAGCCCTGAAAACATACATAAGTAACATCACACAAACCGAGTAGGTTATACTTAGGAATATATACGTATATTATCCATACATATATGCATGGAAGACAGTGAAAAGGAGACCATGTATTTGAAAGACAGCAAGTAGTGGTATATGGGAGGGTTTGAGGGGAGGAAAGGGAAGGGGGAAAGAATGTAGTTATAATATAATCTCAAAAAAAAATAAAAGAAAATATGGGGGGAAAGGTTAAAGCTTAGATTGTTTACTGATTGATGTTTATAGTTGACCTTTACTATATCACACAAAACAAACATGGACTTTTAAAATTCTAAAAATCATGAGGATCATTGTTACAGAACATCTGATTCTGTTATATTTTAGATGTTTAGGCAAAAAATTAGTCAAACAACCAGGAATTATAGCACACGCCTTTAATCCCAGCACTCAGGAGGCAAAGACAAGAAGATCTCTGTGGGTGTGAAGACAGCCTAACCTACATAGTGACTTTCAAACCAGTCAAGACCACAGAGATCCTATCTTTTTAAAAAGGTAAAAGAGTAATATTAAATTAATGGAAAATACCACTGAAATAATTTTTAAGTTTGATTTATATTAAGAACATCATTATTTTTTACATTGTATGGTTTTATGTTATAAATAAATTTTAATATTTGACAAATTTTAAGTATCATTATACCAATTATATCCTATGTTACCCTGCAAAAGAAACTAATTTTTATGTGCCACCCAGTAAATACGCAGAAGTTCCTCCAAGTCAAATAAGAAAAAAAGGAGATAAAACTACTTCACAGACAGTCCAATCATTTTTCAACCCCAGGAAGTGGACACTGTGCCCAGGGTACCTTCTCCAGAGCTCACGAAAATGTGCTGTGTCTTACGGTCCACCTGAGAAACACTCAGGGAAAAATCAACAAATCCGCTCTTTTCTGAACCAAATCATTCCCACATTCAGGTTTATAGCTGGAATCTTCTAATGCAGCAGAACTTCCCACCTTGGAAATATGAACGCTTGGGAGAGGATCATT